TAACAGAATATGATGATGAGACTAGTTATGCCATGATTAGATCCTTGAACGCTCTAAATGATTAGACTTTCGATGATGAAAATAAATCAAGTGCTATATAAAAGAAGATTCCGACATGACAAATACCATTTAAAAAATAAGGATATGAACACTGTCACTACTGGAAGACCAACTACTAGACTCTTCTCCTCGATATATTCTCAATGATTTGTCCAATTATATGGAATTTTAGGGGGATCAACACCCAAGTTGTTGTGAAAAGACTCAAAATGCTTGGAGAAATGTATAAACTTTCTATCATTGGAATTCTTGAGCCCTTTGATGACCGACTTAATGTGATGAATTTCAAAGTTCAATTAGTAATGGATAATGTTGTGAGTAACTGTAAGGGCAAAATATGGTTGTTTTGGAATGGTGACATTGATTGTACTATTACTGATGAAGAAGAACAACAAATTACATGTGACTTTAAGCATAATGAGATACAAAATCAATTCACTATTACATTTGACTATGCTAAATGAAAAGACCATCTCAAAAGGCCTCTTTGGTATAAAATTCTTCAAAAGGCTGCAGGTATTGACAAACCTTGCTGTTCTATGGAGGATTACATTATCACAACTCTTATTGATGAGATGTTTGGAGGGGTGCGTTACAACATTAGAAAGAGCATTGAGTTCATAGCTAATATTGAAGATTGTGGTCTTATGGACATTGGTTTTAGTGGTCAATAGCTTACTTTGTAAAAATATAGAGGTATTAATCAACAAAATCAGGAAAAGGTTAGATAGGTCTCTCATTAATGATATTTCGCTTGAGTTAATGCCCCAAACTACCACAGGTCGCAGAGAAGCCTACATATGTCATCCTTACTTCATCTATGTTAATTTTAACAGAAAAATTGAACTTTTTGTTACTTAAAATTCATATAAGACATTTTATTCTAACTCATAAACATTCACATAAACAATCTAATATTAAGATCATCAAATGAAAGATTTAGTTCAATGCTGCATTAAATGTTTTACCTGCAAAAACGGCACCAATACAAAGTATAAAAGGAGAAAGAAACGCTAGTGGAACATTCTCCAATAGATAAATCCTATAACTAAGCTAGAATATAATGGGCAAGCATCCTCGAATACATGAGGTCCTACGAAGTCTTGATGAATACTCCACGTCCGGATAGCTTCAGCGATGATTTATAAGCTCTAACGTCCACCTGCGCCTGCACCTAAAAATATTGAGTAGGATGGGATTATTACACAATTGTACTAAGTAGGCATATGCAATCACACACAAAGGACATGCATGAGTAAGAATTACTCTTTCCTAACAATATGATTTATGGAAAGTGAAGTTAGTGGAATTTCCAAATTTGGATTAGGAAAGTTAGTGTACTTTCAAAATTGGATTAGGAAAGTATTACCATGAGAGTAACATGCATCATCATACTTATCATATTGCACACAATACATAACATCTTACATAAAGAACATAAGATATTGCATATAGTACATAACATATTTCATATCATTCTTTCATATGCCATGAGACTTTGGAATCATGGACTTTACATCAAGACTTCCCAAAAATGAGGACTCAACATATGGGACCTTAACTAGGGAGCCTTCTTTAGCACAGACAGAGTTGGCTTCATTCATTCACACGTACTTCACTTTATTTCGTGTATAGGCTTGTGAGAACACCATCTATACATAGGATGTACTTTAAGACTCTCATCGGGTTCGTTGTGCAATAACCAAGAATAACCTAGAGTCATTACAAAACTCTATCTCACCTATTTATTATCATATCCTAATACCTTTGGTGTTATTTATTTCATTGTGTACATTATTTGAGATTGGCCTCATTCATTCATGGGGAACTTTAACTTTAAGCGACATAGATCATGTGAGCATCATGATATCAAGTATCTCCCCCACATCGAAAAGAGGTGGAATCACCGTCCAAAGTGACACAAAACATTCTAGCATACATGGAAATTGAACACCGCCAGATCCCTAGATTGGCAGTATAGGTTCGAAGACTAGGAGATGTAAGGTGACCCATACCCGGCATGCCAGACAGTCTCATCTCATTTGAGTTATTTGAACCTCCGTCCTTCCTGAATGAAGGCATCACCGCTCAGAGCTTGTGTATCGGAGCTCAGTATAAAGTTGACATTCAAGTCATACGTCATGGAAGATGGATTCTAGTATGAGCACATCATAGCTCAATAGATGATTTCTAATCTCATCATTTGTATTCAGTGTATATTGATCTCAATACTTTCATTAGAGTGTTTATAGAGACTGGTCTCTTCATTAACTTTACACTCTCATAGGTGAGTACGTTTTGGTAACATTTACTTAGGCTCATCGAGATTGCTCTTATCTTTTACATTAGCCTATTATCATGTTGTCAGCACATTCATTAACTTTTTCACATTTGCCCTTCATAATTACTCACCCCTTATTACGTGAATGTTCATTTCATCACATGCTAATACACTTGGTCATTTAGTGTGTTTCACACTCTTACTTAACCCTCCTATGGTTTCATCATTTCATTGTTCATTTAATCATATGCCAATGTACTTGGCCATATAGTGTGTTTCACACTCTTGATTAAAGCTTCCAGGATTTCATCATTTCAGAACATACATCTTAGGTTTACTTTTAAATTTATGCTAGACTTATGAGTTTAAACATACAATCCATGAGTCTTCACTCGTATTTACTTTAAATGATTCATATATTTCTAAGATTATGTGGTACAATACTTATGCATGTTGTATGTAGGCCAACATCTCGATTTTGATTTATGTGGGTAGCATTACTTTGAACATTCAGTCACGTATGACTTATGTATCAATAAGAAATTTGGGGAAGGTATCCCAATTGAAAATCTATTGGAAAACACTTACATTTTTATTTAATTTGGGTTAATCCACACGGCTTGGGGACCCAAGATAGAGCCCCAACACCTCCATTGAATTTTATTTTTTACGTAACTTCTCTCTTCAAATTTCGCTCATTGGTACTGAGAGGATGTGGGATCGAATCCCCAAAACCTCATTTTCTTTTAATTTCCTTCTCTTTAATTTCTCTCCTTTTGGTGGAGGGGGTGTGGGATCGATCCCCCACAGTCCACTTTAATTTTTCTACTTAATTTTCCTTGGTTCTGCCTAGAGGTCATGGATTCGAGTCTTACACACCTCAATCTTTTATTTTTATTTTTTTATTCCTCCTTAAATTTGATTGAGAGGTGATGGGTTCAAATCCAACTCCTACTATTTATAATATTTTTTATTTCATTTTCGGATAAGGCACATGGGTTCGAATCCTACATGCCACATTTTTTTCTCACATTATTTCAATGACTTTTAACATGGTGAGGTCACGGGTTCGATTCTCAGTGGCCTCACATATTTTAATTCATTTTTAAATAGCATGATAATCCCCTTAGCTTTGCCGAAACTCAACAACAAGATGCATGAAATTTTTGCAGTCTAGTTTCTTACCTCCTTCACATTAAATGTTTCGACGTTTTATGTAGTTTTTAGTTAGTTTTTTAGGTGCATTTTCATGGATTCATTCGAATATTAGTTTGAAGTCAAAATCAGCATTTTTACATCACTTATGATCATCACGATTTAAGCAAGTTCGTGCACATGAAATACAACCATAAACATGTAATTTTCCGAACTTGAATCCAAGAGTTTAAATCACGGCAACACATTGCACACACATAATTTTTCACTTAATTTCGGACAACATGCTATATATTCACATAATTCCGAACATACATACATAAACATAATCATCAGGACAACACATTACATCACTAATTTATACTAGCAAACATACCCAACCTATGATTCGATGGGATCTAGTGACAAGGACATATAACGGGGAACAACCCTAGTTTTTTGAATAGATTTGTATGAACCTTAATATTGACTTGCGAAAGGGACCAAGATTAATAAAACCCATACCTTATTTTGATGTTTAACCTTGAACTTTCTTCCCAAACCTTCTCCAAAATTACGTCTAAGTCCAAAAGCTTCAACACTAACTCGACGGAAAAGCTCCTCTCTTTGCCTAACATTTTTTTGTTATGTTTTAAATATGTTTTTAACGAGAAAGTTCTTTAAGTGTGAAGAACTTTTAGTGTATGATCAGATCTTGTGTTTATGGCAGAGAAAATGTGAAAGAGAAAAGAGATATTGACGTGAGAGAGAGAGAGAGAGATGTAAATGTGAAAAAGAGTTCAAAGAGATGAAGTAGTTTAGACTTAGTCATCTAGGACTCTTTCAAATATAAAAAAATATGATTTCCCTTTTATTTTAAATCATCTAATAAATATAAATTAATTAAATTAATTAGCAATTTAAATAAAAATAATTTAAATCTCTGCTTCCACCTAGGTTCGAACCTGGGCAGAGCAAGACTTTGCTTTAAAGGCAAATTTTTGGCCTTCTCTCCCAAAAATGACCCTCCACCTTAGTAATTAATTAATTTATTACATATTTAGGGTAATTACAATACTACTGATAGCCTAGAAAAAGAATATTTTACCCCTAGACACTCCAAACATAAGATTTCCCCTTTTAATGTTCAATAAAGGCTCATCAGGGTATATCTTTATTTTTGGGAGCCCTATATGGATGGACCCAACGTTTCCTACATCAAGTAACTCCCCAAGTTACATGGCTTTGCCGTCGCAAGGGTTCAGAGATTTGGTTCTACGTGCATCAACCCGTGCGAACCCGGTCTTATCGTAGGCATTCTAGACACATTAAGCATTACTTAGAATATCCATTTTTAGGGTTATTACATAATCCACCCCTTAGGAACATTCCTCCCCGAATGACACTACTAACTTTCTAGAGTAATGCCAGTCATATCATAACATAGTAAGTATTAACAATCAAGCAATAGCAACAAAAAATGGAGAGACAAGGAAACTTATAGTTAATGCTAGGAAGTCTAACCTCAAGATCTGAAAAGATGAGGGTAGCGGGATCTCATATCAGCCTTGGCCTCCCACGTAGCGCCTTCAACAAGATGATTCCTCCACAATAACTTTACTGTGGCGACCTCCTTTTTCCTTAGCCTCTTGATGTGTTTGTCTGAAATCTCAACAAATACTTCCTCATAGGACAAGTCTTCTTCGACCTCCAAACCTTCACCAGGTAGAATCGATGCTGGATCACCTAGGCACTTCTTTAACATAGAAACATGAAAGACAGGATGAGAAGAAGCTAGCCCCGCAGGCAAAGCCAACTCATAGGCTACCTCATCCACATGCTGTAGGATCTCATATGGACCGACATACCTCGGACTCAACTTCCCTTTCTTGCCAAACCTCATCACCCCCTTCACAGGTGATATCTTCAAATAGACCTGGTCACCCAGATCAAACTCTAACGGCCATTTTCTGTTGTCTGCATAAGACTTCTGCCGACTATAAGTAGTAGCAAACCTTTCCCTAATCACCCTCACCTTCTCTAAGGCCTCATGAATTATATTTGGACCCAAAATGGATGACTCTCCAATCTCGAACCACCAAATTGGACAACTACACATCGTACCATATAGTGCCTCAAACGGTGCAATCCCAATGTTGGAGTGATAGATGTTATTATACAAGAACTCTATCAAAGGCAGATGGTCGTCCCAACTACCCCTTAAGTCAATCGAACACGCCCTTAACATGACTTTTAATGTATGAATGGTGCGCTCCGCCTTCCCATTAGTGTAAGTATGAAAGGTAGTACGAAGCTTTAGTTATGTCTCTAAGCTCTTCTTGAAGGATCTCCTGAAATATGAAGTGAACTGAGCTCCTCTATAAGAAATGATAGACAAAGGAATCCCGTGCCATCTCATAATCTCATCAATGTAGAGTCTCGCATAATCCTCGGTTCTATAAGTAGACTTCACAGGGATAAAGTGAGCAGACTTAGTCATCCTATCAATAATAACCCATACGGATTCATGATGTCTACTAGTCCTTGGAAGACCAACCACGAAGTCCATATTAATGACCTCCCATTTTCAAGTAGGAACCTCAATAATCTGAGTAAGACCGCCAAGCTTAAGATGTTCTACTTTAACCTGTTGACAATTAGGGCACTTGTCCGCATATTCTTCAATGTCCTTCTTAATGTCATCCAACCAATAGATCTACTTAAGATCATGATATATCTTGGTGGAACCTGGATGTATTGAATATCTGAAACCATGGGCCTTTGCGATGATCCTGGTCCGCAAATCGTCTACATCTGGTACACAGAGCCTGTCCTGGTACCTAAGTATCCCTTAGTCTCCCAAAGCAAAAGACTCATTCATATTAACCAACACTTAGTCCTTCAGCTCCATCAACACAGGATTAAGATGCTGACCCTCATTGACTTCAACTACTAAGGATGATTCAGAACTAGAATGAACTGAAACACTCCACTATTAGAGTCAACTAATCGTACACCTAGTCTTGCCAGTATGCGTATATCTTTCACCAACTCCTTCTTCTCATCCTTAATGTTGGTTGTACTTCCCATGTTCATCCTAGTCAAACCATCAACTACAACATTAGCCTTACCAAGATTGTAGTGGACATTCATGTCATAGTCCTTCAATAACTTTAACCACCTCCACTACGTAGATTCAACTCCCTCTCTGTGAGAAAGTACTGAAGACTTTTGTGGTCTATGAACATATCCACATGAACTCCATACAAGTAGTGTCTCCACAATTTCAGTGCCAACAAAGCATCTACCAAATCCGAGTCATTAGTGGGAAAATTCTTTTCATGAACCTTGATCTGTCTGGACGCACAAGTTATCACCTTGCCACACTGTATAAGAACACAATCCAAACAAAACCTAGATGCATCACAATAAGCAGTGTAATTCTGACCATACTTAGGCAATGTAAGCGCCGGGGCTGAAGTGTGTCTTTCTTTGAGCTCCTGGAAAATCTTTTCAAAAGTCTCTGTCCATTAAAACTTGGCTTTTTTCTTAGTCAAAGCTCTCAGTGAGGCAGCAATGGAAGAAAAAGCCTCCACGAACCTACATTAGTAACAAGCCAATTCCAGAAAGCTACCAATATAAATGCGAGTAACTGTTTTTTTAAAGTTCTTAACATTGTCAGTCTTCTTGGGATCTAACTCCACACCTTTGTCGGACACAACATGACCTTGCAATGTCACCAATCTAAGCCAGAATTTACACTTGCTGAATTTGGCATACAATTGATGTTGTCTAAGTGCCTGCAAGGTTTGTCTCAAATGATGTTCATGCTCTTCCTTGGTCTTAGAGTAGATGAGAATGTAGTCAATGAATACTATTAAGAAAGAGTCAAGGTATTCATGGAATACGTTCTTCATGAAATCCAAAAATGCAGCAAGTGCATTCGTGAGACCAAATGACATAACTAGGAACTCATATTAACCATAACGGGTACAAAAGGCTATCTTTGTGATATCTCTATCCCTAACCCTAAGCTGATGATACCCGAAACAAAGCAATCTCTGAGAAGAAACTAGACCCTTGGATCCTCTTTACTTGAACCATTCGGTTCAAATTTTTCCGTCTCTTTTTCTCGACCTCTTGTATATGGACAATCCTTCATCATGTGACTAGGTTCTCTACAACTCTAACAAGCGTTAGAGCACCGCCTACACTCTCCTCCATGAAGTTTTACACACTTGCTACAAGGTGGCCTATCCTGAGGTGTATCTACTTCACCGTTTCTCTTAACTGTGGGATCATAATCCCTACATAGTGACCCTTGGAAAAAATTGACTCCCCTTGGTGGGAGAGTCCCTTCTTAAACCTGGGCTTATCCATGATTTCAATACTAATCTACCTTGAAATATTCTTCTCAGCTTGCCTTGACCTGTTCCATGCCATAGTAGGCTTCCTCTTCCTGCTTTCCACTACTTGTTGGACATGGACCATAATCCTGGAAAGGTCCATGCTATCACGCATCATAGTTGTCTTGCACTCGTCCTTGAGATCGTCAACAATATTAGATAAAGAACATAACATATTGCATATATCACATAACATCTTTCATTTTATTCGTTGATATGACATGAGACTTTGGAATCGTGGACTTGACAACATCCCAAAAGTGAGGACTCAACATATTGAACCTCAACTACGGAGCCTTCTTTAGCAAACACTGAGTCTGCTTCATTCATTCATATGTACTTCACTTTATTTCGTTCATAGGCTAGTGAAAACACCAAATATACCTAAGATGTAGTTTCATACTTTCATTGGGTTCTGTGTGCAATGATCAAGAATGACCTAGTGTCATTACTTAGGTCTAGCTCACCTATTGATTATCATATTCTAACACCTTGGGTATCATTCATTTCATTGTGTACATCATTTGAGGCTAGCCTAATTCATTCAGGGGGAACTTCAACTTTAACCGACATAAATCATGTGAGCATCATGAAATCCAGTTTCTTCCCCACACCGAAAAAATGTGGAATCACCGGCCAAATTGACCTAAAACATGCTAGCGTACATCGTAATTGAACCCTACATGATCCCTATATTGGAAGTATAGGTTCGAAGACTAGGAAATGTAAGGAGACCCATACTCGGCATGCCACACAGTCTAATATCATGAGAGTTACCCAACAAAGCTCCTTATTTCTGACACATTAGTAGGTCTTACCCAATTCTTCACTGTCTCAATCTTAGAAGGATCCACCATCACTCCATCCTTAGAAACCACGTGCCACAAGAAGGACACTGCATCTAGCCAAAACTCACACTTAGAGAACTTGGCATAAAGCTTTTTCTCCCTCAACATTTCCAATACCATTCCCAAATGCTCCTCACATTCCTCCTTACTTTTAGAGTATATCAGTATGTCATCAATAAATACGATCATCAAGATATCCAAATATGGCTTAAAAATCCCGTTCATCAAACTCATGAACGCAGCAGCGGCATTCTTAAGACCAAAAGACATCACTACAAATTCATAATGCCCATACCTGGTTCTAAAAGAAGTCTTTGGCACATCCGTTGCCCGTATTTTCAATTGATGATAACCGGATCTCAAGTCAATGTTAGAGAAGACACAAGCACCTTGTAACTGATTGAACAAGTCATCAATGCGAGGAAGAGAATACTTGTTCTTTATGGTTACCTTGTTCAACTGCCGTTAGTCTATGCACATCCGAAAACTCCCATCCTTCTTCTTTACAAACAAAACGGGAGTACCCCAAGGAGATGCACTTGGTCTAATGAAGCCTTTGCTCAACAACTCTTGAAGTTGTGCTTTTAACTCTCTTAACTCCGCGGGAGCCATTCTATAAGGGGGTATAGAAATGGGGCGAGTACCCGGTTCAAGATCAATACAGAAGCCAATATCCCTATCTGGTGGCATACCAGGAAGATCTACAGGGAACACATCCAGAAACTCACGGACCATCGAAACTGACTCATTCGAAGGTACTTGGGTAGTGTCATCCTTGAGATGTGCCAAGAAAGCTAAACACCCTTTACTAACCATTTTCCAAGCACGAAGAAAGGAGATGATACGCACCGGATTGGAAGTGTAGTCACCCTCCCTTTCGAAACCTCTTTGATGTCGATGCCATGGTGAGTTCATCTGGCTTCACTCCTTCCACCTCTACCACGAAATCTACCACTTCTTGGAAGGATTTTGCCGTAGCCGCTACCTGTATGGCTGAAATTTGCAACTCTGACCTCAACCCCTTAACAAAACGACGAATCCGCTCTTGTGGACTGAAACAAAGTTGAGTGGCATATCTGGATAGTGCACGAAACTTAGCCTCATATACATTGACCGACATCCTACCTTGCTCTAGGCTCAAGAACTCGTCCCTTTTCCTATCCCTCAAAGTCCGGGGGATATACTTCTCCATAACCAAGCTTGAGAATGAGGCCCAAGTCATAGGTAGTTCCTCCGTTGGTTGACACTCAACATGTGACCGCCACTACATCTTGGCGTTCCCTTGAAACTGATAACTCACAAACTCAACACCAAACCGTTCTACTATACCCATCTTGTGTATTAGCTCATGACAGTCAACCAGAAAATCGTAAGCATCCTTAGATTCAGTACCCTTGAAGACTGGAGGTTTCAATTTCAAGAATTTACTTAAAAGTTCATGCTGATCATTTTTCATTATAGGCCCAGTAGTCAGACGTGGAAATGTGCCTATGTCCAATGAGGCATCCATACGAGGAGCCATAGTGGCTGCATGTTGTTCCTCTAAAACCAGAGGTGTTGGTGCAGAAAACACTGGAGGGGCCTGACCCTGATCAGACAACCCACTAAGATAAGCGAGAACCTGATTGATCATCTCTGGGGTAGGTTGGGGTGGCAATTCCTCATTTTGCACTTGTTCATTCTCCCCTTCCTCACCCTCTCTTACCACTTCCTCAGTCGGTGGAGG